TATGTTCAAATCAGGTACCACGTCAATAAATTAGAAAATAAAATAAAATTTCTTCGCATTACCTTTGTCGCCTTGATGAATGCAATAAAACCCATTAGCTGAACTATCATCCGATACCGAAGAAAGAATTATGCTCCTGTACTAAAAAGAATAACATACAAATAAAAAAGTTAAAACATTTCAATCACAGTAACACTGGCAAGTCCAGGGGGAAAAAAAGGAAGATGGGTAAAAAGATCACTCATTGGATATCACAATATATATATCTAAATCTTAAGAAATTCCCTGGCTACATGTCTCCAAAATGAGACAGTCTAATCCTCCACAGACACATACAGGGGATTGTTCCATTTCGTCTACTGAAAAATATATTTCTATTCTAATGTCAAGATTGGTGAAGCTGTGCCTATTCCAAAATCAACTAATTAATAAAAAAACATACAACAGTAACGCATTATCTCCATGTGGACCTGTATCATACATGCCGGGTGCGTGCTTGTTAGTCGTATATACAAAAAGGGTGTTTGAGTATGCGTATTCCTGTGTGAGGAGCGGAGCTCGCATTTAGAGGCAGAGAAGGCTGTAGAAAACCAGGGGTATGACGGCATTATCAAGCTGTGTGGTGTAGGCCTCCAACAAGCCGCTCAGGGTCACAGCGAGGAGAAGAGAGAACCAGTGCTGCACAAATCGACATCACAGCCGTCAACAAGGGTATCAATTACAAAGGAGAAACCAAGTTTCCATAGGTAGGTTTCTCCAACTATGGGCATTTATATTATGGGAAAAATCATGACTGAAATATGATCCAATGACTTAATATGGGTCAGAGATAACCAACGGAAGAATGAACCAATGCATAAGCCTCACCGCTGCAGACAGAAGCATGAGCTAATGTGGGTCACGAGGAAAGAAATTACCCAATATTGAGTCCAGAGCAAGTGGCTAATCATGCCTATAATGCTCTGGAGTTTTCAAAGAAGAACATAGCACTAAAGCCAGCACTAAAATAATACTATCCAAAGTCGACAGTAAAGCTTATAATTCGTATACACCTTGATAGGTGGCCACATGCTAACTAAAACAATAATATCCCAAATTGACAGTAGCAGATCAGAATCATTTAAATGTCTTTGTGCACAGGCGCGTAGACAAGTGCTTTGCGAGGTCAGAAGTACGTTGGGGGGTTAGGGGATGGGGGATTCTGAGAGAGAGAGAGACCCGAGTAAGTATATGTCCAGTTGTTGCTACAAGTGGAAGAAGAACAGAGCAAGCTGCCAAGACAGAAGTTATACCAGCTGCAGTTCCTTCAACAGTTTTCTCTAGCAAGTAGGAAAAAATATACCTGTTAAAGTGTTAAGCTAAAAACCTACCAGCAGAAGAAATTTTGCTTACTGCCTGTTTTGCTCCACCGAAGAACTCCATATTTGTGCCCAACCATTGATGCCTAAACACAAAGGCCAAACCATCGACTTAAATTCAAAAATAAGAATTTCCAAGCACAAAATGTTTATATGTTCACAACCACTGAGAGGATTTTATATATTGAGTCATCTGCAAATTTCACTCAATTCCTTTTCATCCACAGAATTTATGACAGATATAAGTTCCTCACAAGTACATTTCGCCTTTGTTCACTTTGCAACTAAAAGGATGACATACATATGTGAGCTACAATGGCAACAAGTTTTTCACCACAATATGAAAACAAAATACTAATTCAATTGGCAGGCACGCAGAGGTCAATGATGAGCTAACTGTCTAGTTCCATAAGGACTTGAAGATCTCAAGTATATTTGAACTTGCTTCAAATTGCATTAGATGGCCGAGTGCAAAAGTGTTCCATACAATAGCTTTCACATTAAATATTTGTGTCAATTATCTAAGATGAATGAAGGATGTGCTTTCATATTAGTGGTTCTCATATTCAGTTAAAGGGTAAATCACCTCTGCAAATCCATATTCAGCTTTAATGACAACCATAAAGTCCCCTAACAAGATAATTTTGTGCCAACAGTTTAGATATAATACTATGGACTGTACACAAACACAATATCGCAAATCCTTTTGACTGTGACCTTTGATGAAGATTTCCCACTATTAAGAGTATTAGAGTATTATGTAAATACTAGTTAGTTGTAATATGTATTCCACTAGAGGGTATATACATCTTTTGTATGATTACAAGTTAACGATAAATACAAGTGGTTTGTGAGAGATAGGTTAAATTTTGACCACTCTTTATCTTTCTCTAATATTGTGTTAATTCTCTCAACTTAACATAGTATCAGAACATTAAGATCCTAAACATAAAAATAAACCCAATCAGTAAACACGATCAGTCTTCCTCGCTGAACCAGTTGGTGCAGATCTCAATCGTGATTGTGGTATTGCTGTCGGAGTCTCTGTGTGATGGTGGTGTCACGTTGTCGTCGTGGTGTTGCTGTTGGAGTCGCTGCGTGGTGGTGGTGTCACATCGTCGAAACTTGCTCAGTGGAGAAGACGACTCCACATCGTTGGTGTCGTGGTGGTGGTGCGGCTTGTGTTAGGTGTGAAGCGTAGTTGGTATTAGTGGTGTTAGAGTTTAGTTGAAACCCTACTCAGTGGAGAAAACTACTCCACGTCGTCCGTGTCGTTGTGGTGGTGCGGCTTGTGTTGGGTGTGAGGCGCAGTTGGTATTGGTGGTGTTAGGGTTTGGTTGAAACCCTACTCAGTGGAGAAGACGACTCCACGTCGGGTTGGTTACAAGTTTGGGTAGCTGATCCAAGTCGACGGGCTCAAATAATTCCCAAAGCCTAATCAGGTACACAACCTACAACCCAGCCCTGCTCTGCTAAAGCCCAAATAAAAAAAGGTCTTACTGGTCCAAGCCTAAACAACTGTTCCCCTGCTGGTCCAAGTCGGTTCAGGCCCAGTTCCGTCACTTCAAGGTCATCTCAAGCCTAGTTCAATCCATTCTAAGTCGGTTCAAGCTCGGTTCTGTCAATTCTAGGCCAGTTCAAACCGTTCCGTCAATTCTAGGTTGGTTCAAGCCCGATTCCGTCAAGTCTAGGCTGGTTCAAGCCTGGTTCCATCATGTCTAGGCTAGTTCAGGCCTAATTTTGTCAGTGTTGCACAGGTTCAATGGTCCATCAATCCTTTCTTGCCCGGTTCAGTCATCTAGCAAACTTTTCTTGCTCAGTTCAGCAATTCAATAAACTTCTCTTGTCCGGTTCAGCAGTCCAGCCAACTCTTCTTCCTATGTTCAGCTTTTATTAAAGTTCCTTCTCACCTTTACTATTGTTATACTATTATAGAATCCAAGCAAGACACTATCTCTTCCTCTCTTAACCCATCGTTGCCACCGACCTCTTCTCCCGTGGTTCTCCTTACTAGTCCCATTACTTTCGTTAAGCTCAATGAGACCAATTATATTTTATGTTCATGATTAGTTCAAGTATTTTTTTAAAGGCAAAGGTTTTAAAAAATATTTGGTGACTCCTAAAATCAAGAAAGATACTTTTGGGTATGATCAATGGGAATAAGAGGATGATCAGACTCTCTAATATTGAATAGCATTGAGCTCAATATTAGCTCTACCCTAAAGTATTTCCTCCTAGAGCAGTATACTCTGAGTCTTAAGGATTATTACTCTCACGTTCAAACAGTTTGTGAGAAATTGAAGCTCTACCATCCGTTCACTACTGATACAACAGTTTGACAAAAATAACATGGAGATCAAGGATCAAAATTTCGTTTCGGTGCATTGTTTCGGACACCTAGAAAATGGAAACGTTTCGACATGTTTCGGAAATGTTTCAACATGTTTCGGAAACGTTTCAACCAGTTTCGAAAACAGAATGAAAAATAATAAAAATTTAAGAATTATTTTTTCAAAACATTATTCGAAATATATCAAAAAATCTTGAAAATACCTTAAAATATTTTAAAATAATTGTTCAAATACATTGAAATATAACAAAATATTTCAAAACATAATGGAACACCTCGAAATATTAGAATTTTGATTCTATCACTGATTTGTTTTGGTCTCCTTGAAAACGGAAACATTTCGGATGTTTCGACCGTTTCGAAACGATACTTTGATCCTTGATGGAGATTTGAATGTTATTCGATTTCTGATAAGTTTGAAACATAAATATGAGTCTATTCGCTCTCAAATTTTGGGTGGCTCCCATCTTCCCTCTCTACTTGAGGTTTTCTCTCATTTACAGTGTGTTACCTTGTCTACTGGCTCTGCAGGCATTGTTCATGGTGTTTCCACTGACCGTTCAGCTCCTATTGTTCCTACTGGCTACAATGATGGCCATCGGGGTGAACATGATAATCGCGGTGGTCGTAGAGGTCATACTAACAATCGTGGAGGCCATACTAGATCTCATTTCTATATTCACTACCGCTGATTTCAGTTAGAATTTACATGGCAAACCATCTAGTGTTGCTAATCAGGTTTCCTATCATGATGACATCTCAGTTGTTACTTTTATACCTCGGTCAGCTCCACCTGACTCTAGGTTAGTTACTTTTACAAGAGAGGAGTATGCTCAGTTCCTGTCTTAGCAATAAGGTGTTTCATCTTCCTCCACTACTATTTTTACCCAGTCAGATACCGCTCTTACTTGTGTATTGTCCTCCACTTGCACGCTTCTGACCACATGACTGGTGCATCTAGTGTCTTTTCTACTATCAGTCTACTACTTTCACACACAATGTTACTCTTGCTACTGGTACTTCTTCTAAAGTTTCAAATTTAGGAACTACTCAATTAAGTCCTGATATGTTCCTATCCTTCGTGTTATTTGTTCCTCAGTTTTCTTTTAGTTTACTTTCCATTAGAAAAATTACTCATTCCCTTAATTGTTCTGCAACCTTTTATCCCTCTTATTGTGTGTTTCAAGATCTCAAGACGACGAGAAAGATTGGAACGGGACATGAAGTCGGTGGTCTCTATGGCTTTGACTTTGATTCACCTACTCGGACTCTATAGACCTCGTCATTTCCTTTTCAATAGCATTTTCGTTTTGGTCATTCCTCTCTCTAGAATCTGAAGCGTCAAGTTCTAAGTATTAATCATGTGTCGTCTGGGTCTTGTGAAGCTTATCAACTTAGTAAGCATAACTTTGTGTCCTTTCAGTCTAGAGTCAATAATCATATGTCTAGTCCATTTGAGTTAGTACATTCTAATGTACGGGGTCTAATAAAGAATATTTCATCTAATAAATATCCTTATTTTATTTCATTTGTGGATAATTATTCTCGTGTGGCCTAGTTGTTTCTTATTATGAAAGCTCATTCTAAATTATTCTCTATATTTGAAACATTTCGTAAAGAAATAAAAATGCATTATAGTTGTCGTATTCGTATTTTACGTTCTGATAATGCTCGAGAATATGAATTTGATCCTTTTTGTAGCTTATTTTAATAAAATTGACATTATTTATCAAATTTCATATGCTTATATGTCTCAGCAGAACGGTGTCACTGAGTGCAAAAATCATCTGTTGGAAGTCATCCGTGCACTATTATTCCACGTGAATGTTTTCCGTTGTTTTTAGAGTGATGTTATTCTCACTGCTTGTCATCTTATTAATCGTATGACATCTTCTATGTTAAATAGGCAAAGTCCATATTCTGTCATTTTTCCTAGTAAACTCTTATTTTCCTTGGCCCCTAAGGTTTTTGAGTGTGTCTGTTATGTTCACAACTTGAGCCCTAAGTTTGATAAACTTGACCCTCGTACTACCAAATGTGTCTTTTTTGAATACTCCCGCACACAGAAGGGGTATCGTTGCTATAGTCCTTTCTTTCGTCTGTACTCCACTAGTGTTGATGTCACTTTTGATGAATATGTTCCATATTTTTTGGCACCTACTCAGTCTTTAGATTTGGATTTTGGGTCATCCCTTATACCACCACCTCTTCCATTACTTTAGAGATTTCGCTACCTACTATACTACCAGCTACTTCTCTACTTCATGTATACTCTCGTCGTCCTTGACCATCAACTGAGGTGTCGTACCGTCTTCCTTGTCGTTTCTTAATCTTGGTCCATCGGTAATTTTGATTCTTTACCTATTACTTTTCGAAAAGATACTGGCTAGTGTGTTATTAACCATCTCATTGCTCATTTTGTTTCATATGATGCATTGTCTCTTGTCTTCTCTTGTTTTACATCTGAACTGTCTACTACCTTTTTTCTAAGCATAAGCATTTATAGGATGCGTTGTCTGATCCGGATTGGAGGAAAACTATAGAAGAGGAGATAGATATATTACATCATAATGGGACTTGAGATCTTGTTCCTTTACCTCTTGACAAACAAACTATTAGTTGTCATTGTGTGTATATTGTTAAATTTAATCCGAATGGTTCTGTGGAGCGTCTCAAAGTCTGTCTTGTTGCTAAGGTCGTTACTCAAACCTATAGTGTTGATTATAAGGAGACTTTCTCTCCCGTTGCCAAAATCCCTTATGTTGTTCGTATATTGATTCATTTAGCCGCTAATCTTGATTGACCCTTGTTTCAATTAGATGTCAAGAATGTCTTCTTACATAATAACTTGGTTGAAGAGGTCTACANTGTTCGTATATTGATTCATTTAGCCGCTAATCTTGATTGACCCTTGTTTCAATTAGATGTCAAGAATGTCTTCTTACATAATAACTTGGTTGAAGAGGTCTACATGGAGTAGGGATGGCAGTGGACCCAGAGAAAACGGGTATTCGTCCAAATCCGTCCCGTTTAGACCGGGAATGAACTATACGTATTGAACGGTAGACGTATACGGGAATACCCGTATAAACTTGTGCGGGGATGAACTTACCTNCCCGTATAAACTTGTGCGGGGATGGACTTACCTTATCCCTGCCCCGCCCTCGCCCCCGCCCCTCCCTACCCCGTCCCCGTTACCCGTTATATATATATACTCTTTATCATATGCAAGATCTATATATACTAGTGTGGGTTTTTGTAAATGGCTTTGTGGGGTTTCAATTATTAGAAGGTATTTGCTCTACCAATCTGGTGTTTGGTGAATGAAAAGAGCCTGTATTCGGTAGTCTGATTGTATTCATGAAACCAATGTTATTTCATAATTGTGAGTTTCTCTACTAAACAAAACTGTAACAACAATGTTCATGCACTAAATGGGTAAAGATAAAACAGTTATGACTTATGAACAATCCTTCTTCCAAACCTTGGTTTAGATCTAATTGTGAAGAGTGTGAAAATCATCTTATTAAGTTGACATGTAGATTGTAACGTGGCAATGAATACAAGAGTCTATTGAATCTGCCAAAATAACTGCTCAAAAAGAGAGAGAATAAGATAGAGAATTACCAATTTCATGTTATATTGCATAAAGTCATTCAAATTTCTTTTAACAGTATACCAAAATAATTTTTTTCAGTGAAATTATGTGCTTAGGCTTAGGCTTGGGTTTAGGTTTGGGCTTAGGCTTGAGATTGGGCTTGGGCGGGTATAGGGAGGCGGGGATTAGAAATTTACCTGCGAACAGGAATGGGGATGAAAACTATACCCGCTAACGAGGGTGGATCATGAATGGATGAAATTTTTTTAAGTAGGTTACGGGAATGGAGACCACACCCCCCGACCCCGCTTCGGTCCACTGACATCTCTAACATGGAGCAGCCACCTGAATTTACTATTCAGGGGGAGTACCGTAAGCATGTGTATCGGTTAAAAAAATCTCTATATAATTTAAAAAGTCATCGAAGGCATAGTTTGGAAAGTTTGCAAATGCAGTTTTAGAGTTTGATTTTCTTTGATGTAAAACAGACTACCCTGTGATTCATAGACAAACGAATGTCGGATGTGTTCTATTAGTAGTTTATGTAGATGATATTGTGATTACTAGAAATAATTCTGATGGGATTTCCAAGTGAAAAACCTTCATGCAAGACCAATTTCATACTAAGGACTTAGGAAAACTCAGAAATTTCTTAGGTATTGAGGTTGCTAGATCTAAATAGGGTATTTGTATTTCAGAAAAAATATGCACTTGGCATACTAGAGGAAGCAAGTTTGTTGGGTGGCAGATCAATTGATGTTCCTATGGATTCAAATTAAAATTTGTTGAGGAATAATGGTGCATTTTTTTGAAAATTCGGGTCGGTATCGCAAGTTGGTTAGGAAGCTTAATTATCTCACAATTATCCGACCGAATATTTCTTATTTAGTTAATATAAAAAGTCAGTTTATGTGTGCCCCAGAGTACCACATTGGGAGGCAGTTATTCGTATTTTGCGATATTACAAACATGCTCCTAGTCTTGCGCTGTTATATCGAGCTAATAGACATCCTAGAGTGAAAGGTATTTCAAATGCTGATTGAGTCGGCTCCCCTTTTGATAGGAGATTAACCACTAATTCTTGTATTTTTTTTAGGAGGTAACGTTGTCTCATGTAAGAGTAAGAAACAAACTATTGTAGCAAGATCTAGTGCTGAGGCTGAGTATAGAGCAATGACACATACAACGAGTGAGTTTACGTGACTACTACACTTTCTCTAAGAAACTGACTTTTTAGTTCAACCTCTTTTACAGTTGTTCTGTGATAATCAAATAACTATTCATATCGCTACTAATCCAGTATTTTACGAAAGAACCACATATATTGAGATTGATTGTCATTGAGACAAAATAATAGCTAGAGATATTACGACTTTATTTGTGAGATTTGAGGTTCAACTTGCGAATATGTTTACCAAAACATTGAGTTATACACGTCTTACAACCATTTGTTCCAAATTTGGATTATATGATATGTATATAGTCCAACTTGAGGGGGAGTGTTAAGAGTATTAAGTAAATACTAGTTAGTTATAATAAGTATACCACTAGAGGGTATATACGTCTTTTATATGATTACAAGTTAACTATAAATACAACTAGTTTGTGAGAGGTAGGTTAGGTTTTAACCACTCTCTGTCTTTCTCTAATATTGTGTTAATTCTCTTAACTTAACATCCACCATCTTACATTATTTAGGGGCTTCAAAAATAGGATATCTCCATTTCATAGTAAGTGTCAAAAATATCCATGTCATTATGGTGCATTGCATAGAGCAAAATAACACAATTTATCTCAATTCGAGAAAACAGAAATAAGATGCAGTTTNTCCATGTCATTATGGTGCATTGCATAGAGCAAAATAACACAATTTATCTCAATTCGAGAAAACAGAAATAAGATGCAGTTTACTTTCTTTCCACTGTTTGAAGAAGCATAAGGAAGAGTTTTATTCAGGCANATGCAGTTTACTTTCTTTCCACTGTTTGAAGAAGCATAAGGAAGAGTTTTATTCAGGCAACTCTATGTTACTATGCTAGATTCGGCTTTTTGAAAAATAAAGTGGTTTATCAACCTGATTCATTCAGTACTTGACTAATATACCTTGGCTCCCAATCAAAGATACAAAAAAGTAGATAATCTATCAAACACCTTAGCCACCTGCGGGTTTAGATAACTATGAAAGGTGTTTTATTGTGAAATTACTCAAATAAGAAAACTAAACAGCCAGAATTTTAAAATGACAGGACATCACAACCAGAACCCTCACCATCGTATCTCCAATTCCAAGGCTCAAAATCCCAGCAAAAGGGGCTAGTGGGCGGTCATCGAAACCAGAAGAAAACCAGATAGGAAGCGCAAATCCCAATAAGAGTGAAAAATGGCTACACAGAGAAAAATAAGTCCAAAGGAAAGGAATTGCATCTTGTTTACAAGAAATAAATGCTACTCACAGATTTTATGAGAAAAAATGTCAGACCTGACAATAAGAAGATCAGAGTCACGATGATCAGTAAAAGCATTCATAAATTGATGCACAAGGTGTCCCAAAGGCCAAATTCTCCATACCTGCTTACAAAAATATGGTTATGAAAGAGCGTACACACACGCGGATAGAGTGAGGGGTGCCCAAAGGCATGCTGTAGAGTGGATAGTGTAAAATGTTGGTAATGAAAAACTCCAATTATCTCTATTATTTCAACAAGTATGATGTGGTCTTATGCAGATTGACACTGACCCTCTAACAATCAACATTTTATTACATTATAATTAATATTGCACTTTTTTTTCTTTTTTTTTTTTTTTTTTGGGGGGGGGGGG